TGCTGCTGCTTTTGCAGCTTACTGCTGCAGCTTGCTGCTGCAGTTTGCTGCCGCTGCTGCAGCTCCCTGCTGCTGCAGCTTGCTTCTGCGGCCTGCTGCTGCTTTTGCAGCTTATTGCTGCAGCTTGCTGCTGCACTTTGCTGCCGGTGCTGCTGCTTGCTGCTGCAGCGTGCTGCTGCAGTGGGCTGCTGCAGCTTGCTGCTGCAGCTTGCTACTGCAGCTCGCAGCTGCTGCTTGCTGCTGCAGCTCGCTGCTGCAGCTTGCTGCTGCAGTGTGCTGCTGCAGCTTGCTGCTGCTGCTTGCTGCTGCTGCTTGCTGCTGCTGGTGCAGCTTTGTGTTTGCCTGAAGTTATTTCTTTCTCTGTTTTGTTTTGTCTACCGAAGGCGGAAGCCGACAATAAAACAAAAAACAAAATAAACAACAAAATAAAATAAAATAAAATAAAATAAAATAAAATAAATAAATAAATAAAATAAAACATGGACCCTAAGCAATATAAATAAACAAAAAGAATGTATAAACAACAACATAGATTACTAGCAGAGTAAGCAAGCCGCAGAATAAAAGAATAACAAAATAAATATACAACAAAGTAAAACCCTAAACCCTAAACCCTAAACCCTAAATGTTTTAGTTTATGGTGTTTGCTGCGGCATCATTTTATGTATTAACGTAAACCCTAAACCCTAAACCCTGAAACAAACAAAAACGCTGCTGTCTGCGTGCAGGCCGACTGACAAACAAACTATTTGGATGCATGCACTGCTGCTGCTTCTGCTGCTGCTGCTGCTGCTGCTGCTGCTGCTGCTTCTGCTGCTGCTAGTGTTTGTGCTGGTGGTGATGTTGGCTTTGCTGCTGCAGCTGCTACTCTTGCTGCTGCTGCTGCTGCCTTTGCTGCTGCTGCTATTCCCTTTGGATGCATCAGCAGCAGCAGCCTGCATCTGGTGTTTGTGCTGCAGCTCGGTGGGGTGTATGCTGAGGTTGTTCAGGTGTATGTGCAGCTACAGACAATATTTTCATTTTTTTTTTTTTTTTTTTTTTTTTTTTTTTTTTTTTTTTTTTTTAAATATTTAGGGAGCTTTGTTTGTTTATATATAAATAGTTATATAATAAGAAACAGAGAAGCATCAAATAGTTTATCATCAGGGGGTATAACCCTAATGAGGGTTTAGGGTTTAGGGTTTAGGGTTTAGGGTTTCCACAGGGGTTTTGAATCCCCTTGAAAGCCATACATCGTAAACCCTAAACCCTAAACCCTAAACCCTAAAAGCTTCTGATAAAACATTTGGGGTGTATTGAATATTCTAAACCCTCGTAAATAATTGTGAGCCTTTTCAGGTTTAGCAGCCCGTCCATCTCTGAGCAAAATTAGGGTTTAGGGTTTAGGGTTTAGGGTTTATGTGCGGTCCTTGGGGGGGAGATCCAGCATCTGCTTCTCTCCTCCTCCCCCTCTCAATGAGTAAAATTAGCGTTTAGGGTTTAGGGTTTAGGGTTTATGTGCGGTCCTTGGGGGGGAGGTCTAGCATCTGCTTCTCTCCTCCTCCCCCTCTCAGCCCCTCCCCCGACCCTGAAGCAGCAATCGGCTTCTCCGATAAAATTACATTTCTCTGAACAAACGCAACCTGGCGTGAAGCATACTGCCGGGGGGGAACGGGAGAAATTTCCCCGAACTGACACCTGAAACACACCACAAACCCTAAACCCTCATAAACCCTAAACCCTAATAAACCCTAAACCCTAGAAAACCCTTGAAAATTAAAACCCTTTACAGTATAAAATAAACGACATATAAAAACCCCTCCCATTAACTCTGTGTATATAATTAAGAGAGAAACGTGCATAATATATAAACTCTTTCTACGCCTTTTTTCTAGGGTTTAGGGTTTAGGGTTTAGGGTTTAGGGTTTATGACGGACGAGGCTGTGGACTTGATACGTTTATAGAGTGTATGTAAATATCTTCTCGGGGTGTATGGAGAGAGAAAATCTATAAGCGCAAAGAAGTAAACCTCCCGCCTATTAAAACTCATTACCTTCAGGCCAAACCCCCCTTCTAGTGAAGGCGGACCCAAGTAAGGAGTGCTG